GGCCTGTGTATAGGAACATACGGTGACAAAGACTAAAATTCACTAGAAAAGCAGCAAAGGATTATGCTGAAGACACTGAAGCCACCTGCCCTGGTGCCAGCTTCTCAGAGCCATGTCCCGCCCTGCCTCCCTCTGGCTGCCTTTCACAATGCTTGAAGATGTTCCTGGGAAAACTGCGACTCACATCTGTTATTTTCTGCTTTCAAAACCCCAGTGATGCCTTCTGCCTACAGGTCATTCCATGCCATAGTGAGATTCCCCTCCCCATGGTGTGGCACAGAGTGAGGGACACCCCACCATTCTCAGTACTCTGTCCAGAGACAGAAAGTTCTGCCACACCTAAACCTACCCAGGCCCAGTGTTCCCCTGGCCACATGCCTAGTCCCTCTCTGTTCCTGTTGGTGGCAGAAACATGTGAGTCTGGGTCCTGCTGCTGCCATTTGCCAGCACAGGAGGAGCTGGGCCAAAAATGAGCAGCACAGACAAGTGTGGGGACAGCTGAAGAAAGAGCTGAGAAATGGTTCCAACCACACACAGTGCTCTTGCCTCACCCTCGGTCGCCTGTACTCTGTTTACAGCCAGTAAAGTCCCTTTATGGACCAGTCTCTGTCCTTCTGCCACCTCACTCCAATTGTTCCCTGTTTCATCCCTACCTACCTTTGGAAAAATCTCCAAACACATCTCCAGGACAACTTCCTGCCAGGTGGCGTCGCCTTCTTTCCCCTCTGAGGCTGGCATGGCCTGAACACTCCTCAGCTATGTTTCTCACCACATTTCACTACTACTGGTTATTTGCTTGCACATCTGTCTGTCCTACCAGCTCTTCGAGGGACTTGGACTTGACAGCACAGTGTCTGGTGTTCAGAGAGAACTCAGGTTTAGAAAGAATCCCCAGCACACGGCCCAGCAAGGGGGCTCTGATGTGCAGACTGGTGGTCACCCTCAGAGCAGGAGTCACACACCAGAAAACCCAAGTGCCCAGGTCAAATCATTCTAATTATCCCCCAGAGCAAGAGGTATAACAGAAAGTAGACACTTCCTGCTACTATCAACTGCGTGCTATGCTGTAAGCACATTCGTTAATAAAATTTGCATGCTATGTTTAAAAAATTTTAAATTCCCTTTTATTTAAGAAGAGGGCATATTAGAAAGGACTGGGGATGTAGCTCAGTGGCAGAGTGCTTCCCTTGCATATGCAAAGCCCTGGGTTTGATTCCCTAGCACCACAAACAAAAACAAACAAAGAGGGCACATAAGAAGACATTCGTGGTAGTTAGGACAATCCCCCCATCGAGGGCCTTGCTGTGTCTTCCTTGAAGGGGCTTAGCAGGCGAGGCTGGTCAGGGCAAGGTCATCTTCCCTTCTCTGTTGCTGGGCCACAGACTGGACATCAACCCTGTATGTAAGTGGCGGTGAGCACAGTAAGTAGTCCCCTGGACTCGTGGCAGGAGATGCAGGGTTGTGTCCTCTTTGGAAAGGGAGCACCCAGCCCCCACGCTCTTCAGAGGAGAGAGACTGTCACAAAGTTGTCACCAGGCCCAACCCTCTGTCTTCCTCTTTTTGTTTCTGTCCCTGGCTGGAAGGATGCCCAGGATGGTGGAGGGGCAGGAAAAGCCACCACCTGGCCAGGAGCAGCTCTCTGAGCAATGGGGTCACAAGACTGTCAGAGGCTGTGGGTTCTATCAGCAGGGAAAGGAAGAGCAAAAACCAAGTCACTGAAACATCAACCAGAGAGGTTTCGACACCAAGGAAAAGAAGTGGGGGACAGAAGCTGGGGCTACTCAGGAGCACAGTTGACTAAAGACAGTCACCCTTTTGCATTTTGGCTGTATATTTTGACAATAATGACTATTAAGGGCCTACTGTCTAGTTATTCAATAAAATGCTATGATATTTTAAAAATAAAGAAAAAGAAATGTACAAAATAAGAATAACACACATCTATACCCAGTACTCAAAAAACAAGAATTTAATACTGTCATGCTTGCTTTTAGTTACTATGGTCTTTAAAAACACATAGTTGTGGGCCTGGGGTCGTGGCTCAGTGGTAGAGTGCTCGCCTAGAACACGTGAGGCACTGACTAATATTGCGTCCATCTAAAACTAAAAAAAATTTAAAACAAAACACATAGTTGTCTTGAATAGCAGATTTTTCAGGTGGCCACAGCCTCAAAAAGTCATGCTGCCTGAAGCGAAAGATGAACAAAGAGGTAGCTGCAGGCTCCACGGAAGCCTTACCTGGCCCATGCCAGGTTGATGGCAAGACTAAAAGCTCTCTGGGGACAGACATGTCTTGAGTCTTACTTGCTGCTGTATCCCTAGCATGGAGCACAGTGTCTGGCGCACAGTAGGTGCTCTAAAGTGTTGAGGGAGTGAACACAGGGAGAATTAAGTGACTGGACTTTTGGGCTCCAGTTTCTCAGAGTGGTTACCAGATGTGACCTCAACCCAGCCACAACTTCTCTGGGCTTGTGTCCAAGTCTGAAACAATTCGAGAGCTTGACTTCCTAAGCTGGGGGTTCTTTCCAGCTCTAAAACACTGTGTCCAGAGGAACGAGGCAAATGATAAGTCTGAGGAAACCACCAGTGCACACACTGACTTCCTGGGCGGATGCTTATTGGACATGCGTTGTGAATAATCAGCTCTGGATGTTTACATTTCCTTCTTTGGTAAGTCCTCAATCGACAGTAGCAATTTCCTTCCAATTCCAGTTCTGAATAGACTAGAATCATCTTTCCCAGACCATGTGAGCTTATGGGGGAAAAGACTTAACCCCTCAAATTCCACACTTGGACGCTAACTTATGTTCTCCCAGCTGATTCTTATGTTCCTGCCTTTAACACGATTTAGATTTTTTGTTTCTATGGTAATCACATCTTCTGCTTCTTTTCATGCTTTTCTCTTAATTATTAAAGTTAACTTGAGAAAGAATATGTAAATGAATGAGTATTAGGACAATGTCATTCTTAAGGTTCCCTTAAGATGAAAATTAGTGAGGGGGGGAAAGAAAAGAAATTAGTGGGCAAAAGCTTGATGAGAAACAGGATACGTGCATTGTTCCAAACACCTCCCCAAGACATGTGCTAGCAACACAGAACCTGGTAGGCACCGCCTTAACCAAGTAACCAGTAATGGACACATCTACACCACACACCTCCTGACATAGTACTCTAAGCAGGGCACATGTCACTACCATGGTGCTCTTGCTAAAGATGAGAAAACACCAGACAGACCCAACAGAGACATTCTACAAAGCAACTGGCCAGTGGTATTTAGGTCTCAGGTCATAGAAGACAAGTAAAGATCAAGTCACAAATCAAAGGAGACCAAGGGCACAGACAACACACTGGAGATCCCAGAGCTGGTTCTGGCACACAAGAAACATCAGAGGACAAACAGGTGACATTTAAATAAGGTCCAAACATTGTACCAGTATGTGTTTCCTGGTTCTGGGCAGTGGACTGTGGTCATATAAGACGCTAGTGCTGCAGGAAGTGAGGTGAAGCATGCAGAGACTGAACTGCAAGGGTCATTGGTGCACCGCAGAATCTCTTGGCTGAATGTGGAAATTTAAAAAACTCAGAAAAAAATGGGCAAAAGAGCTGGGCAGGGTGGCACATGCCTGTAATCTCAGCAGCTTAGGAGGCTGAGTCAGGATGATTGTGAGTTCAAAGCCAGCCTCAGCAATGGTTGAGGCGTTTAGCAACTCTGTGAGATCTCATTCCTAAATAAAATACAAAATAGGGCTGGAGATATGGCTCAGTGGTTAAATGACCCTGAGTTCAACCCCTCCACCTCTGCTCCCCAAAAAAGGGCAAAGGACACGAATAGGCATTTCCTGGAAGAGAAAATGTGCATGTATTTTGTTTGTATAAACAAACTCAGGGCAACTTCAACTAAGCTATAATGAGATACAATTAAAAATTGGGGGCCTGATAATTCTAAATATTGGCCCATCTGTGGAACACCTGGAACCCTCTTCCACTATTGGCAGAGGCAAAAACTGATCCGGCCACTCAGGAAAATACTCTGGCAGTATCTTATCTACGTGAAGATGCATGTGCCCCAGGATCTGACAGTTACACCGAGGTATACATCATAGAGAAGCCATTGAACTAGCATCTGGAGACAGACAACAACAATCACAACAGTTTGTAACAGGAAAACACAGAAAACAATTAAAAACATGACGACACGTGGAACATCCTCACATGACAGTGGACGGACAAAGATCACAGTGGGGGGACTTCAACAGGTGGAGTAAAAAGGAAACTTGCAGAATGGCATGCGTCCTAAGAAATAGCTTTTATAGTTTGTAAATCAGTAGAACACGAGTTTGCGCTGTCTAAATCATATTATAACAAACTATAAAGAAAGGCCAGGGACAAGGGATTGGGAAGGCATGAGGAGGTGACCCTGTACCATGGAACCTGGGTGCACAGATGGCAGACCTGGTTAGAAGGGAAACCCATGCTTCTCCTTACATACTGTCAGTATTAAAGGGCAGTTGAGGAAAAACCAAAGGGCAAAAACGCAAAGCATCTCCAGTTTTCTGGTTACAGTTTTGCATGGTAAACAGTCTAAGTGACTAAAATATATAAGCTCTGTGACACGTTCAGCCTGTAAAGTGGAAGGAACGAATCTGAGGAGAGCAGGTTGAAAGGGGTCAGAGATCAGCTCCCCAGATTGATCTGGAAACACCCACCCCCATCTCTATCTCCCACACATCACAGCCAGGAAGCTGCATTAAGGGGATGTCGATTTCCTACTACGGAGGACACCTTCTTGATGTCCGAGTTCCTGGGTGGCACCCCTTTGCGTTACCTGAGTACAATCATGCCTCTGGCCCGAATGCACTGTGCAGCATCCTTTGGTGGCTCCGTTCCGTTAGCCTCTGCCAGGATTTATAACAACAGACACCTCGCCTATATTTTCACACAATTTATAAGGAAATTCTGCTAAAGGTCAAAATGGTCTTGTCAAGTGAGAGGCCACTCACCAGCTGGAACTCACTCCTGCGGCTGAAAGCCTCCCTGATGCCCGAATCCCTCCAGAGCGCGCTCAGGGCTGGCACATAGAGCTGGAAGGTGGCGGGCTCCACAGGCAGCCCTGCCTTGTTCTCAAAGGCCATCAAGAACATCCCATGCTTCTCGTTTTCAGAGTGCTGCCAAGGGATGCCAAGCTTGTCCCGTGCATCAACAAGCACCCTTGAGCCCTAGGAAATAAGAGAAGGGAAAAAGGATTTAATTGTGCTCTGAGACGACATCAAAATACAGAACCTTTGTTTAGGCGCTGGCTGTCAGAAAGCAGAAAACTCACAAGCTGTGAAACTTGCAACCAGATTTGCCTTTGGTTTGTTCTGTTGTGGCACCAATGTCTCAACTCCTGGGACCACACCCTATGAGACAGGTGTGTACACCATCACCCAAATGGGCCACTGTTTCCTACATGCATTTGAAAAGCACTGAGTGGGGGAGGAAGCAGAGACACAGTCAGAAATCCAGCAGCTCCTAGAAACCAGAAGATTACAGTCACTTGTCCCAATTGGGTGAGAAAACACACTGGCAATTAGCAGCCATGCAGCAGGGAAAGACTAACCCCACTTGGGCAGGAACTGGGACCCCGTTCTTGTGATGATGCCACCACTGTCTGGGGTGTTGAGAAACTGCTTTCCATCTTTTGCTTATTTCTTCACTGTTAAAAAACCAAAAGTGAGCATTTTCTGCCCCTTCTCACCTCACAGACAGGACAAAGGGATGGAGAAATAGCCTACATGAAACAGTACTAAGGAAGGTCTCTGGCTGTGGGGTCGTCCATCTCAGGAAAATGGCTCGGCTGCCAGCTGAGCTGGAATATTTCATCATTCTCAGATCAGAGTCCAGCAAGACGGTGTCTATGGAGGTGGAGTTCTCTGAGGTCCCCTGAGTGTTCTCTTAACATGGTCAGTACCCTGCAGAGTAGCACAGGGTACAAAACATCTGCCTTTCCATCTGGAAACCAAACAGGTGACAGTTGGGTGGGACTCTGACCTCCAGTCCAGAGGACCCCAGAGTCAACACCAGGCAGGATGGCAGCCATCAAGAATACAGAGAATAATAAATGCTGGAGAGGATGTGGAGAAAAAGGAACACTTCTACACTGTCAGAGGGATTATAAATTAGTACAACTACTACGGGAAATCAGTATGGAGGATCCTCAAAAGACTAGGCATGGAACCACCATATGACCCATTCCTTGGTATTTATCCTAAAGCATAAAGTTCATGATACCTGCATATCCATGTTTACAGCACCACAATTCTCAATGGCTGAACTATGGAACAGCCTAGGAGCCCATCAACAGATGAAATGATAAAGAAAACGAGATACACACACACACACACACACACACACACACACACAGAGGAATTTTATTCAGTCATAAAGAAGAATGAAATCATGTCATTTGCAGAAAAATTGGTGGAACTGGAGACCATTATGTTAAGTGAAATAAGCCAAATTCAGAAGGTCAAGGGATGGGTAGTTTTCTCTCATATGTGGAAGCTACAGAGAAAAAAAAGGGGGGGAAAGGTATGGGGTGGGATCAAGGATATAATGAAAATCAAAGGGAGATCAGTAGAGGAACAGGACTTGAGGTGGAAGGTGGGGAGGGAGAGGAAAGTGTTGGGGAGTGACACTGGCCAAATTATATTGTTAAATTGTGTGCATGTATGAATATGTAACTACAAACCCATCATTATGTACAATTATAAGGTACAATAAAACACATGGAATGAAAAAAACACAAAGAAAACTGGTGCTTAGAAAGCAAAATAAAATTTAAAAATTCAGCTAGAAAACAGGCACAGGACACTTAGAGATATTTCTGCAGGTAGTGCAAGCAGATGACAAATCAGCAGGTGAAGAGGTTCATGCTTGCTAGATGCCAGGGAAAAGCAGAGAGGGCTGGACCTCCAGGAGCCACCTCCACACGATGGGAAACAGTGGGAAGGAACAGCAGTGACACCACCAAGTGGCAGTGAGGACGCGGAGAAATGGGAACACAACCAGCACAGATCGTGGACAGGAGTCGACAGTTTCTTTGAAAACTAAGCACATGGTTATGACACAGTGCCGCCGCAACCTCAGTCCTAAGTTTTGTGCTGGAGAAATGAGGTCCACACAAAGGCATGTGCAGGAATGTCCACAATAGCTTCATTTCCATGAGTCCCAAACTGGGAACTACAATACACTCACAGCACTGAATACCACTTAGTAATAAAAAAGAATTATCCACACGAAACAACCTGGAGGGAACTACAGCACATGATGTCAAAAGAGAAAAGTCAATCTCAAAATGTCACAACTATGTGATTCTCTTTATGTAATATTATCTCAAAGTGACAATATTATAGAGATGGACAATGGAGAAATGGGGCCAGGAGTTAATGTTAGTGATGGGAAGGGAGGGGGATGACTAAAGAGATCTCTGTGGTCTTGACTGTTGGTCACACCAATCTATGCAGGTGATAAAATGGCACAGAGCCCCTCCCACACTGTACTGGTGTCAGTTTCCTGGCTTTGATATTGTACTGTAATTATGTATGTCATAACTATGGGGGAAACTGGATGATACCTCCCTATACCATCTTTGCAACTTCCTATGAACCTATAATTATTTCAAAATAAAGTTTTAAAAAAGCTAAATAGCAGTGACAGTAATGTGTGCCCCGACTATGTGGTGTGGAAAGGGAAGGTTACTAGAGGCCAAGGGAAAAGAGGTAGTAGGAAAAGGTAAGGCTCAGAAAACTCCTAATCAGAGGTGGGTCTCTAGCCAAGCTTTCTGAAGGGTTGGTTTCTATACTGAGGGCAACAGTGGGTCAGAACCCATCCTGGGGGAACTGAGCCAAGTCCTCCACTTTCCTCTTTCTTGTTCCTCACTCTTCACATTGCTGCCTCTGGAATGCTCCCATCTCACCTCTTTCTCTGACTACACTGTGATCTTCAGCCTTCCCCAAAGAGCAATATATTCACAGGTCCGAGAACTCAAGAAAACAAAGATGATTCCAATTTTCCACATCATGCACAACAAAAGTTACCTGCACATGCAGAAGGCAGCACTGATCTCTCTGATGAGATTTGAGCAAAGGGTCTTAAAGCCTTTGTCCAAGTCAGAGAAAGAACCCCTCTTGTCCTGGTGGATGCGGTCCCAAGACTGGCAAATCCTAGACAGGATTTCAGCCTTTGCCTGTACCCGAGTCAGGAAACCAGCCCACCTACCAGCCCTGCCAATGCACCTCAATATGCACACTGTATGACCCTTAAGGTACCCTTTCAGGTGCTATTTTTATACAACTGTTTAGCTTCATAAGGAGTGTGACCTCCCTCCCAGTGAAATCTACAACCCCTAGGGAGTATCATTTCTATATGTCAGAGATGAAATCTGGGGCTGACCTCCGTTTGGCTACACACACATAATAGACACCTGACAATAGCCTGTACGGTACCCCCCTGCTGGATGCCACCTGAGTAAGCCACAGTTACTCCAACCAGCTGCACCTAGCCACGAAGAACAGACTCCTTACTTCATAAAAAATCATGGCAGTTGGAAAAATTAATGATGAACTTTGAATTACAACAGTTAACTGGAGTCCACTTTCTGTATCTTTTTCACTTCGTTTGCAGGAAAGGCATCAGGAGAAAAGATAGCTCTCTTTGGCCCACTTAAATTATTCAAGTCAAAAACTGCTCCCTGCCAACTTTATTCTGAAATTCCCAAACAGACTTCTAGGGAAGTTTTCTGCTTTGGGACATCTGCTCAAGTTCCAAGTCCACTCTTTCTCCTTCTTAGAGGGACATGTGGACTACCTCTGGGGCTTCAGGTCTTTGGTGACATTGTGTTTATCTTGCAGACTGGTAAGAGTTGCTAGTGTCTTCAGTCAGATACTAGTATAAGAATAAGCTATGATTAAAAAAAAAATCTAGCCTGGTCTTCCAATAAAAAAAAATTTCCTGAAAGACAAAAGCCAAGAAAATCCTAAAACTCATATATACCTAACGGAAAATAGAAACAAACAAACAAAAAACAAAAAACAAACAGGCCAGAAGACAACAGACTTAAGTTCCTTTAAGACAAAGGAGAGACTTCATCAACAGTTTTACCCAAATCCTAACTTTTTTGATAATCATATACTTTCTCAGTTGTGCAAATACAAACAGTTAAAGTCTCAAGCAGTTTGATGACTTCATCTCAATACAATGTAACACTTTAAACAGCTCAAAGAGCATTTTTAAGACAACTTATAAATTCAGCAACTTGAACTTCCGAGTCAGAGCATATATTCCAGACTGCTGGGGAATGTAGATGGGTGGTGGTGGTGGGGAGGATGTTGGTTTTACTGGAAGAGGACCAAAAATTGTAAATCCTATTATTTCACTTCCAAATAGATTTTGTTAGTTTAGCTGCTAATCAAGCCAAATCTTTTTAGAGTAGCTACTCCCCACTAAAACCTTCCCACAATAAATACTACAGCTAAGTCGGATATAAAATGCTAGTAAATAGAACAAGCCTTTTCTATAGGACGAGACAGTTACATTGAGGCCATTTTCCGGTTTTGAGCATGCACTTGGACGAGGCCTGCGTACTTGGAAAGCTCCATGCTTTAACTCCACCAGGCTGGCTTGTTTGCCTTTGGCCACCATCCAAATCAAAGAAAGGCTGCCAGAAATGTAAACAGGATACATTTCTTTAAATTAATGAATTCAACAAAGACAGACACTCCTCTCAGTTTCTCTCTGGAACTGAAGTGCAGGGTACCTTCTATTCAAAGGTCAGAGAGAGTGAGAAAGGAAAGCTGGAGGTGAGGAGCCTGGCCCCAAAGTTTCTATCAGCTTCCAGTGGGAAGCTGGCTGCAGCCAAGCTGGCCACCCCTGCCTGCACCTACCCTGGCTCTCCGAGGCTGCTTTCTGGGACAAATGCATACTGCTTTGCCAGGAAAGCCATCCACAGAGTGCTACCAACTAAAGCTCAAGGGCTCTCCTTGGGCAAAGCAAAGTGCCAGGTGGCTTCTACATGGAGCACTTTCAAAACACCTTGGCAGCAGGACAGAGACAGCAGATGAGCCACAGGCCATCAGATGCAGAGTCCTGAGATAAATGCTGCAAGCGAAGGTCAGAGCAAGATGGAGGACAGCCAGAAAAGTCCCACCCTGGTGAAAGAAGTTTAAAGACAAACTGG